TCTCAAATATCTCCATAGGAAAGCAATATCGTGGACCACTCTTGGCTTTCTAAATAAAACCCTTCTTTCCTTGGCTTCCATGTCTCCAGCTTCTCTAATTTTCCTCCTAGCCAGCCTCAACTCAGGTACCGTCCCATTTGACAATCCAGCCTTCCCATCAGACCAGTAATTGCTGAACTTCCTTAGGTCTAGATCTTGGGCCTCTTCTTTGCTCACTCTCTGTCAAACCCTCCCACTTCATCCATGGCTTCAATAAACATCCAAACACTGGCAGCTGCTAAAATGCTGTCTCCACATAGGCCTTCTTATTTTGGTTGTGTTTATGTGCATCTGACCACCTGCTAGGCTTCTCTGCTTGGACGTGTCAATGACACAGCAAACTTAACATGTCCAAAATCAAGGACTTGATGTTCCCTTCAGCGGTCCCCACCTTGGTGACTTCATAACTCTCCGGATACTTGAGAGTTAACTTTGACTCTACTTCTCCCTCACCTAGGGGTACGATTTACCACCAAATTCTCAAGGTTCTATACATTCCTCAAATCTGCCTTTTTCTTTCATCTCCACTGGCCCTAACCAAGATCAGCTACCACAATTTCTCACTTTTACTTTTAACTGCTCTTTTCAGTTTTTCTCTTAACTAGTTTACTCTTGACCATTCTGCCCGTCATACCATATTCTTTTTCAACCTACAGGTCTGATCATGTTGCTCCCCTATTCAGATCCTTTAAATGACTCCTTCTCCTACTCTTTGGATAAGAGTAAAAATCATCAACGTGGCCTACAAACATTGTCAGATCCAGCCACTGCCTGCACTCCCAGCTTCAATGCCTACAGCCCACTTCCTTTTTCTCTGCCTTCCAGCCACAGCGACACTTCATTCAATTCCTCAAAAACATCATGCCCTTTTCCAGTTCTTTCCCCAGAAAATTTCAGGGATATTGGTACATATTAAATCAGCAATAAAATTGTCCTAGTTTCAAATGGAGGATAAAGATATTTGAAAGAATAAAGAGAGAGTGAAAATCCAGAAAGAAAAGATCTTCAGTACAAAATTCATTCCATTTTAAGTCGACCAGAATCCAAATATGTCACAACTTGGGGGTCACCTGTAATGACCAAATGGTCAGTTATTTCCTTTGATTTTTCTGGTATTCAAAACCTAATTCATTTACAACTTTTTATTTCTAATCAATGATATTAATGATTTTCCTCTAAGATTGTTTTTCAGTTTATTTGTATTTTTCTTAGGCCAATATGGATGTTGAAACAGTATTCTACAAAGTTTTACCAGTGCTGATAAAACCAGTGACTCTTTCTCTAAAATATATTTAAAATACATATATGTGTGTGTGTTTATGCATGTATGTATGTATGCATTTTTTTTTTTCAGAGACAGGATGTTGCCCAGGCTTGAATGCAGTGGCTATTCACAAATGCAATCATACAATACTGCAGCCTCAAACTCCTGGCCTCAAGTAATCCTCCTGCCTCAGCCTCCAGCTGGGGAGTATAAGGTATGAACCACTGCACCTGGCTACATATTCACATTTTTAAAATGATACCACTATAGTACTGTCTCAAAGTTTCCAATATTCTTTATCCTTAATTATTATTAGTATTAGTATTAGTATTATTTGAGACAGAGTCTCACTATTGCCCTAGAATGCCATGGCATCATAGCTCATAGCAATTTCAAACTCTTGGGCTCAACCAATCCTCTTGCCTCAGTCTCCTGAGTAGCTGGAACTATAGCACCCAGTACGACATCCAGATAGTTTTCCAGTTTTAGTAGAATTGGAATTTAACTCTTGCTCAGGCTGATCTCAAACCCCCAAGCTCAGGCAATCTACCCATGTCGGCCTCCAAGAACGCTAGGATTATAGGCATGAGCCACAGCACCCAGTCACCTTACCTTTTATTTAAAAGTATAAAATTTGCTATAGTCTATGATATATCTCTTAAAATAGAAATATAATATTGATTTTTATTTTCTAAAACGTCTTCCATTGTTTTGCCTACATGGTTCTCATACAAGATACCTTCAAGGAGCTAACAACCTGAAATTTATTAACTACTTAAGTTCATAGATAAAAGTTAAAGCATAACTAATGAGAATATTTTTGAGCAAAATTGCCTACCATATAAAGAGTCAAGGTAATCAAAACTCAGGGAGGGGGCTCTGTACTCAATCACAACAGTACTTGTCATGACACTTAATTCCAATAGGGGGAGGTATTGTGGAAGTGCATCAGGGTTATATGAGGAAATGTATGTGGTCCGTGCAGCAGCAAGAGCACAAGTCCCAGTTCTAATTTGCTATAGGGAAAGGAGTTATCTGCAAAAGCTTCTTAGATGAGTAGAAATTAACAATTTCTTAAGATGTGTTGTTTTGAAGGTTTGAAATTAAGAAACAAATCAATCTTTTTTAAATATTTAATTCCTTTTTTTTTTTTTTTATTTTGTTGCACTTTGGCCAGGGCCAGGTTCGAACCCACCACCCTCAGTATATGGAGCTGGTGCCCTACTCACTGAGCCACAGGCACCGCCAAAACAAATCAACCTTAAAAAGGCCATAAAAAAATTAACATAAAATCCAATGTAACCATTGTGAATTGTTATTTCAAAACCAGATCCTAAGACGTCAACTCTTCATGTAAGTTTAACTTCCTAAGACTACTACACATTGAGAGTGCATGCATGCTAACACACGCCCCGTTCCTTGTTCCTAAATAAGTTAATCATTCTGCTTTGAGCATGATTTTTCAATAATATTAAAGTGCATTATATTCACTGAGAATGGTAATAGTATGGATCTAAGTATTCATGTTCATTTTTAAAAGTTCTATCATTTAAGCTGAATATCTTGTTTTGGAAAGAAACAAATTTAAAAATAGGAAATATTAATTCCAGCAGTCACTTATATATATCATAATTGTTCTTATTGCTTAAAAGAATGTTTTTACCTGATTAAGGACCTTCTGAAGGTGTGGGGTCCCCATTCGATCAGCAATATGCCTGTAAGCCGGGTGGGAAAGAAAAAATTTCCTCTCCGCCAACATGGCCGCCTTAATGTCCTTCTTCCCATCTATGTCCTTCTGGCTTCTGTTTACCACCCCCACGTAACCTGAAACAAAACACAAACCTATGGAGTTGGAGCACCTTCTGTTGCTCATTCTAGGAAGACTTCAAGGCTCTCAAATAGGCTAAGAACAGCAAAATTAGTTTGGGGACTGAAGACTAGTAAACTCCATAGGAAACATCAGTACTTAACAAAAACCACTGATTTGGCTATCGATAAATTTGTAGCATCAGCACAGTAATGTCTCATCCCTAAAAGTTAAGGTTAAGAGAATTACATTTCTTCACAGTTTTAGCACATGGCAGGCAAGTAAATGTCAGATTTAAGACTGAATAGTCTAGGATCATGATTCTGTGATGAATATTTATAACCTCCCTTCAAACCCTTTCTTTTCCCCGCTTTTTTGTTTGTTTGTTTGTTTGTTTTTAACTAAAATCATTTTCATATCAGGATTCCAGAGGTTTTACTTTCACTAGAAACATTCACATGGATGGGAGGACTTACCCTTTTGTTAGCACATAAATCTGTTCATATAATAAATATATTAGGGATAATGAATTGCCTGCTATCCAGTAGAACTCATTAAAATGTTGTCTCTCAAATTGCCTTCCTGAGAGGCAGGTCTCTTAAAAAAAAAAAAAATTAACAGAACCCATGATTTGAGTTTTTGAAATTTATAGCATCTCCTTATAGTAATGACTTTAACTTCCTTACAGATAAAGATGGTATTTGTGCCCTGTGGGATATTTCCACGTCTGACAATGTTTAAACATAACATAATTTTAGAATAAGTGGGGCTTTTTGATGTCATTTAAAGTATAATGAAGCTTCATGAAGGGAAAAAATTGAAGTGTTTTTGTCACTGCAACAAACATCAGGCTTCTTAACATGATTTAGGATCAAGTAATCCTTGAGTGCCCCTCTATGGCAGGCTTAGAGAGGTGGCCTTGTCTGGAACAAAGAGTTCTCCCAAAGCGGGATGGATCTGCCTTAAAGCTAACGAAGCTGACACTTCAAGGCCCCCTTTTTCTTGCCTTCTTATTCCTGTTATTTTAGAGAATAGTTCTCCCTTCAGATCATTTTTTAATATATCACTTGGGAACATAGTACCATTCCATAAAAAGTATAACTAAGAATAAATCCAGTCCTTACAACTGAAAAGGCATGAAAACCAAGCCACCAAGCCTCCCAGTGGCCCCCATTCATTTCTCAGCTGTATCGTCAAAGGAAGTCTTGTATAGACCACAGTACGTTACCCCTGCGGAGAGGCAGCAGCTTGTTCTCTAGGACGTCCCTGGCATCTGTCCCTTCATCCATAAGATCCAGTTTGGTGATGACTCCAATGGTTCTCAGACCTGAATCATACACAAACCCAACATTAGCTCTTCCCCTATGTGGCCTGAGGTGATCTGTGAAACTGGTTCGCTATTCACTTGACCCAGAAAAACCCCACAAAGTCATGCAAAATAAGAGGCTCAAATCTTCATGTTCACTTTAGAAACACACCTGAAACTACCCAGGCCATCCATCAGGGGTATGTCTATACAAAAAGCCACCAAGTATCTGAAGGATGTCACTTCAAAGAAACTGTGTACCATTCCAATGTTACAATGGTAGAGTTAGTAGGTGTGGCCAGGCCAAGCAATGGGGCTGCACCCAGGGTCAGCGGTCCAAAAAGAGTGCTTAATTTTTGCTGCACATGCTTAAAAATGCAAAGAGTAATGCCGAACTTAAGGGTTTAACTGCAGATTCTCTGGTCATTGAGCATATCCAGGTAAACAAAGCACCCAGGATATGGTGCTACACTTACAGATTTCACGGTCACATTAACCCGTACATGAGCTACCCCTGCCACATTGAGATGATCCTTACTGAAAAGCAGCCAATTGTTCCCAAACCAGAAGAGGTAGAACAGACAAAAAAGATACCCCAGAAGAAACAAAAATTTATAGCACAGGAATAGATGAAACATAAAATAAATGCAAATAACAGTAAAAAGCAAAAAACAGCATTATACAATTTGCAGAAGACTAACGCATTTTAGAGACATGTACATCTCAGTGCGAGATGGAAAGCACGTTGTCCTAGTGCTTTTCCTGTTCCTCTCTGCTTACTTTGCTTTCTAATCTACCGCTACACCAGTCTGGCGATCTCGATGTGATGAGGAAGAAAGGCAGAAAACCACCTATCCCTTAAATAACTTTCAATCCATGAGAGAAAAACAAATAGTTATATTGCCAAAATATTTAAAATGCGTGAGTTTGGTTTTGTACCATGCATAAGTGGAAATTATACATTATCATTTTCCTCCCAAGTATTCCACCTAATATGGATGCTTTAAATTTTTATGCATTACATTATTAAAAATAAATAAACACACAGGCTATACAGGGACCACTGATGAGAGTTTGTCACAAGCCAAGCATTATTAGCGATCTAGTTCTGAACATGAAGTCAAAAGAATTAAAAGAAGAAAATTAGGTATAGCATCTGGGCCATCATCAAAATAAACTTGCAAGTCTCACAGCATCCATTATGCCAAAAGGAAGACTGAGCTAAGAGCTGAGGCTCGGATTCTAGTTGGCAGGCAAATCGCTTAATTCTCTGGGTCTCGATTTTCCTCATCTCTAACATAAGGTGTAGAGACCATGATCTCTAAGGAAACTCGTTTTCTGTGGCACATCAGAAGCTCAGTATTTGTCCTGGTTGTCTTCATTAGATGAAATGGACAATATTTGCCTAGGGATTCATATTGTTAAGTGTACTTCTCTGGCCTTCTGGTTAAACACAATTACTTGAACCCATAAATGTACCTTTTATCTGGAATTACTCAAATTGAGCCAACTGTGGTTTTAAATAATTATATATGTACTCTTTTAATTCTAAAAGATATATACTCTTTGAATTCTAAAAAAATAGTCCAACTACCATTTTTTGAAGATGAGAAAACAAAGGCAGAGAAGACTAAATGATTTGACTTGCCCAAGGTCATAATCACACATCCTACAGGTCCAGGCAGTCCTAGCCAAGAGCCCATAGCTTTTAACCAATATAATGCTTCTCACAGTATATTTAAAGAAAAAAAAAAAAAAAAGACTTAAACCAAAAAGGTAAAAAGAGGGAGAGGATTGCAGAAAAAATTTCAAACCAAAAACCCAGAAGGTTGACTGTTAACTAACTTAACAGTCTAGCTAAAGAGGAAAATTGCATTCAAAAAAGCCCACAATAGGAAAAGCCTAATAATTTGTGTAAGGGCATCTCAGAAAGGTTCAGGCCCTGGGGTACTAAGAGTTTTAAAAATGGTAGATAGAGGTGGTGAGACCCTGTCTCTAAAATAATTTCTTCTTAAAAATATGAAGAACAAAAATATTCTCAATAATTAAAAATAGGAGAACAGGAGAGGTGGAGCATGATGGCAGATGGGA